AGCGCAGAAGAATTGATGCTTTTGAACTGTGGTGTTGGAGAAGACTCTCGAGAGTCCCTTGGACTGAAAGGAGATCCACCAGTCCATCCTAAAGGAGCTCAGTCCTGGGTGTTCATTGGAGGCACTGATGTTGAAGATGAAACTCCAATACTTCGGCCACCTGATGAAGAGAGCTGACTCATTTGAAAAACCCTGATGCTGGGAAAGATTGAGGGCAGTAGGAGAAGGGGACAACAGATGATGAGATGGCTGGATGGCATCACCAACTCAACGGACATGGGTTTGGGTGGACTCTAGGAGTTGGTGATGGACAGGGAGGCCTGGAGTACTGCAGTTTATGGGGTCGCAAAAAGTTGGACACGACTGAGTGACTGAACTGAATCCCGGAAGATGTCTTAAAAACACGGTGTTTGCAACTAAGTAAGACTACAAAAGGCCCAAGCAAGCCAATGACCGAAAAAGAGCAAAACAAGTTAGCCTGTTGTGTGCTGTCATAGAAAAAGATCGCCTTCTCCTAAAATTGCAGTTTGGGTTGTTACCCACATCAAATTATATGTAAACTCTGAATTTGTAGCCCCTTTATTGTGACAGAACAACTAAACCAGCTTTTACTTTTTTTTTGAGGTTGAATCTTGGGAAAATTCCAAATCGTCGTACTCTTTTGGGGTTGATCATCCATCGTGTGGTCTTTATCTGCTGTGACAACTGTTTGCCATCTAAGGTGACAGTGGCAGGGGGTGGGGGAGGCGAAGGGTCTGGGGCTCCGGAGACCGTGGTCCCTGCCTTTCTGTTCTCGAGACCCCTGGGCCCCAGCTGCGCCCCGTCCCTGCGACCCGCGCTGGCGGAACTGAATCAGGATTCAGGCAGAGGCCGGGCGCGCCGGCGGGCGTCGCAGTGCGCCTGCGTCTCTGCAGCCGGTCCTCTGCCCGTACGGCTGCGGTTCACCCGCTGACAGTTCCGACCACCAGCCTGCCTTCCAGTTTTATTGTAGAAGAAGAACGGGAAACTGTGAGCGTGTCTAGAGGAGAACTGGACTCTGAAATGCGCGGAGGCGTTTCTCGGGGCCCAGCTGTCAAAGTGCTTCAGCGCCCCCTGGAGTCGCTCTTGCAGACGCGCCCGGAGCCTGGAAAGGGCTCCACCTGCCGCCTTAGGCGGCTGGACGCGCCTCCTCTCCCCTCGCTGGGCACCAGGGGGAGATGAGAATTCAGAGCGCCCGACGTCTCTGTGGGAGTCTGCGGAGTAGACAGCCGCCGTACCACCAGCCGAGCGAGAGCAGGGCGGGGAAGCTTCACACCCGTCGGCCGTCTTGACCCTTACTGTGGTCTTATAAATAAGGCAGGCATTACAGCTTTCTCACAAGGGAAACTGAAATCCAGAAAAAGTCACTGGGCTGGCCGGTCACGCCTCCAGCAAGTTCAGAGATCCAAGGGTCAAGCCTGCCTCTGACCCCAGAGACCAGTTCACACGGGGTCTCGCTTCCCGGGGAGTGCTGGGATGCGTGCGCTGTATGTGTGTAAGCAGACCTGCGCCCGGGGGACTCCGTGTGCAGTGGTCAGGATCTCACAAGGCAGAGACGCTCCAAGCCTGGGGGGCTGAGACCCAGCACACGGAGGCCCCTCCCTGGACGCCCCTCACACACACACACGCCTCCAAGAGCACCCAGCTGTTCATGAGCACGTGTTCACCGTTACAGTCACTGTGCACTAAGGCAGGGAACTCCACGACAGTGTTCTGTGGCTCTCGTTCCTGCTCATGTTAATTGTGCAAGTATTTTAATCTGCTGGGGGCAGAATCGACAGCTCACCCACAGGCACCCGAACTTGCAACCCCTGTCTGTTTTCTGTGTCTCGCTTATTCTGCTCAAGGTGGAGACTCCAGGCAGTAAACGGTGGGTGCTCTGCATCTGTCAGGCACACCCCTGGGCTGGGGGACGGGTCCCCTAGTCACGAAACCCAACCCAAGCAGGCGACCAGCCACAAAAGTGAGGAGATGACTGGGCGTTCTGCTGCAAAAAGGGAACAAAGCCCCCACAAATTTATTAAATTATGTCAAAATTTTAAATCTTCATATAATACACCAAGCATGTTTTCAAACATTCTTAAACTTTTATACTGTCAAAATATAAACTACCTGAATTTACTTTAATTTTGCAACTTTTACCATTAAATGATTGTAACTTCAACACTCAAATCTGACTTCACTTAAACTTTATCTACTATTTTGTTTAAATAACTATATCAGTCACAACTTGCAGAACATAATTTAAAGAGCAAAAAGCCTGTCTTGAGTAACTTCCCGGCAATGCCTTCTTTCTGTTTCCCATGGTTTGCACGATTCTCAGCAGGCAAACCTGTCAGCAAGAGACCATGGCCCTGGCGTCCCATCCATGGACACCTGCTGAGCTGCAGGGATGCGGCAGTGACTAACAAGCGAAGTGCAGTTTGCTCAAAACAGCCACAGACACAGCGTCATCTTTACAGTTTTGCTTCTTTATTTCATGTAGATGTTGGCTAATGTTTAAATATTCTATGGTTTCACTCACACAAACGTACATCAGATGCAAACAGAACCAGGAACGCTTCTCTGGCTCCAAATCCACACCCTTTTGCTCAAGCTTTGGGGTGACACAGGACTGCAGGAAGCCATGACTGGGGATGTGCTTTCCTTCACCGACCAAGAGACCCCCCCAACATAGCGAGCTCATGCACCCAAAACCCTCTAAAGGGGGCCACACACTGCACACTTCAGATAAAGTGCTGAAGGGTGTGGCACAATTCTGGCTTGTAGGACATCCCCAAGCAGGACAGAGAAATATTTGTTAACATTGTAATTTAAGCCTCTGAATATGAACTTACTAGAAACAGTTAAAAAGTAGAAGTTTGTGTTTGAGAAAACAAAACATAACTATTCCAAAACAGGCTGCACACACCAGTGAATGAAAAGGCCCATGCCACGCCATTAGGTTGATGAGTCATTAACATCAAAGTTAACCATATTTTTACACTATTATCACAGGGAAACTGCGATTCAGTCAGTCCCACATGAAGACAAACTGAATAATCAGACGATGCAAATACCCCCACAACCTCCCTGGCTTCCTCGGGGCCGAGGCCAGGATGCTCCACCTGTGCGTCCTGTCCCTGGGGCCCAGCCTGACTGCAGGTCTGCAGGGGACCAGCCACCGTCTGGGCTCACAGGGAACCGGCTGGCTCAGTCCTGCGCTCAGAGGATTACTCAGGACGCAGCAGACTCCTCTGAAGCCAGGATACCACTAAACACCCTGAACTGGTAATTCTCAGAAACGCACAATGAGGCATGCCATCAGGTGTGACGAATTTAAAATCTGACCTCACGTGACGTGCTGTATTTTAAGTCAATTTTTAAAACATTCAATACAGAAGTTTAAGAGATCAAGGATGGACTGGAAACAATGTCAGGTTAAAAACCCCAGAGATGCACTGAGGAGGTTCTGTGCACACAGACCAGCCACTCAGTCGTGGCCCACTCTCTGTGACCCCAAGGACTGTAGCCCAGCAGACTTCTCTGTCTGTGGAATTTTCCAAGCAAGAATACTGGGGTGGGTTGCTGTTTTCTACTCCAGGAAGTTCAACTTACTTCTAAAACTAATGTCAAAATTCAGGAAATAGTTTCTCTACTAAGAGTTTGTAACCATCTGTAAAAAATTTATCTGGATTCAAAATGTAATTTCATAATGTCAAAGTGTCACCTTTTGAACTTCTAAATATAAACACTTTCATATGAACAAATACTATTTTTTGAAATTTGAAAAGTATGTTTCATTTCAGTGGCTCAGTCATGTCTGACTCTTTATGAGCCCATGGACTGCAGCATGCCAGGCTTCCCTGTCCTTCACCAACTCCCAGAGCTTGCTCAAACTCATGTCCATCGAGTCCATGATGCCATCCAACCATATTTCAGTTAACTTGTTAAAATTATGATAACCATGCACAAACTACCTTCTCAGACCCAAACCAGGAGCCAACAGCATCGTCCCTGTTGAGGGCTGTGCTTGGACAGGTGGCCCTCTGCTCACCTGTCAGCCCCCAGCTGCAGCTCCCCGAGGGGACAGGATCCACGAGCCTCCCGTACAGAAGTCTGTTCAGAGACAGTGCACCTGCTCCAGGGACCCTGAGAGCATCCCGTCCCAGGACACCAAAGGGGACAAAGAAGGTGAAACACAGAAATACAGTCAGTTTTTGTATTTGCCATAGAAACTTTTTACTTGTGACTTTCCTTCCTGAAAACAACGCCAGGGGCTCATCCAACGGCCGCCTCCATGGACCCCGATGTCTCTAACTGGACAGAAAGCAGGTGGCCCCTCGTGTTCTGTCCAGTGGCCACACCACCCGGAGAGGCCGCCACGGAGCAGACAGACCAGGGTGGCTGGGGTGGTGGGTCTGCCCAGGCATGGGCGGCACCGCCCCTCGCTCAGGCGCTGTCTCCAGGCAGACTGGGCATCTGATAGCTCACACCAGGCACAGAGCAGGGTGGGGCTGTGGACACGTGGCCTCGGGAGGGCCCTGCGCTGCTGTCTGCCCAGCTTAACTGGAGAGATGGGGGCCCCCTCAGGCCTGGCGTGCGCCCAGGGAGCAGGAGGCTGCATCCGTCCCAACAGTGTGTGTGTGTGTTCTAGGGGCTGAGAAGACGCCTGTGTGGACAGCAGGCTGCTCGGAGCCGGAGCGGAGCGGAGCGATCACTCCTCCTTGGGCCGCGCCCGCGCTCGAGCCCTCCTCTGCTCCCGTAAGCTCCGCAGGTCAGTCATCACCGCCAGGGTCTTGCGCACCCACAGGACCTGGAAAGAACCGTGCGGACGCGGTCACAACTGGACCTGCGTCAGAGGAGGAGGACGGCGCGGGAAGCCCGTGAGGCACGTACCACGATGACCAGGGCATTGAGCAGGAGTGGTGCGGAGAACACAAGGGAGATGAACATGCCCCTCGAGTCAAAATACTGGTGTTTGGAGAACAATCTGTTTTAAGAAAGATTTACAGGTTACTGGGTGGCACAAACGGCATTCCTGCCACCTTCTCTAGCTCATGGCGTCTCGGCAAGCCCACCCCTCACTGGGGGCAGGACGGCCCCCTCTGGACCACCAGGACCCCCACTCCCACACCACCCGGGACCCCAGCAGGAGCCTCTGAGCACAGGAGGACGAGGTGGTCAGAATCGCCATTGTACTCGGGGAGAGCTCACAGTCCCACGTCAGATGTGACCTTCCTAACCCTGCAGAGGGACAACTCCGGCCCCTCTGAAGGGGTGAGAGCAGCGGCCTACACCCAGGGGTCTCCCCGGCGGCGGGGCAGCATGGCCAAACCAGGCTGCCCTCCAGGGTCTCATGGATGACAGACACTCAGGTCACTGACTCAGTCACGCAGCGCAGCTCTGGGTCACAGGGCGCAGAGCCCTGCAGGGCGGGGCCCAGGCCATTGAGGGCTGGTCGGGAGGCGTGCGTCCTGATTAGAAACAGGAAGGAAAGTGGGGAAGAACGGCCAGGTATGGGCAGAGGGCAGGCTCCGCACCCAACAGCAGGGCCTGGAACGCGGGGCTGGGCCGTGACTGCGGAGCCCTGGAGTCAGGCCAAGGGCAGGCAGGCCCGGGAAGCAGGGCGCGGCTTGGGTGGCATCATCTCCAGGGAGGGCGGTGCTGGGGGTGCTGTGCTCCCCTCCCCGCCTGTGTCAGCCTCCCGAGGATTCCTGCCTGACCTGAGAAGGCAGAAGAAGAAGCTGCAACCCCCGAGGGGCAGAAGACTGGGGAGTGGATCTGCAAGGTGTGCGGGTTGGGGAAGTGTGTTCCCTGGACAGGGACCTGGCCACCCAGGCGTGTGCACGGGAAGGACACACAGGCGAGGAGGGAGCGGCTGGTGTCCCGGAAACCGGAACCAGCGTTTTCAGGACGGAGGAAACCAAGTAAACATGGGCGGGTCAGGAACTCCCATCCCGGACAAGAGCGCTTCTGGGCAGCGACCACCACCTGGTCTCACGGCTGGGGAGCCCGGGGCAGGGCAGGGCGGGGGCCTCTGTAAACAAGAGCTGCATGCCGCCTGAGGGTGCCCTACAGCTGACAGGGTGGTTTCAGATGCCGTCCACGTGCCCAGGACTGCTTACCTCCAGTTCATCGCCGCCACTTCATTGATGTACTCGGCACAGTAGACCAAGGTGACTGAGGAGAAAGAACCCCGGGTGAGAAGTCAGAGGACGGTCGACCACCGTGGCCTACACGTCCTTCTGAACAGGACGCTTTAAACGTAAAACAAGGCCACGCTATGCGGCTCGGGAGCCTGTCTGTCCAGCCCACGCTCGCACTCCTCACGAACGCCCCTCACAGACCAGAAGGAACGTCCTCCCCAGCCGGGCGCACTGTTTCTCACTGCGACGCAGGCTCTGGGCTTCACGCCTGCCCCCGGATAACCTCCTGTCTGAATTTCCTGCCTTGCACACAGCCAACTGAAACATCACCTTTAAGATGAGATTTTGTATTTTGTTAAACTACCAGCAAAATCTTCAGTGTCTTCCCGACAACGGCTGCAAGATTAAGAGCCCGGCCTAGCCTCTGAGGCCCTGGCCCACCCTTCCTATACGAACATACTTCTAACTTGACAACATCAGACACGCGCTTCTCTGACAACTGACCCAACACCGGCTGTCACCCTGGTGCTCTCACTGGTGCCTTCGCCCCACGTGCTGGCCTGGGCCAGACACCTGTTATTTGTAAAAACAGATTTTCTCTCTTTTTACACCCCACACCAGGACTTCATTTTCTTCATTAAGTTTTTCTCAATGATTCCACACAACCCTGTTCCTTCTCTGAATCTCGGTGGATCTTATACGCACAGATCTTATACTGTGGATCTTATACTTCCTTCCCTGTGTGCACCTCCCAGAGAGAGCTGAAAGGCTAAACTCACAGAGGGGAGCCCCACTTACAGAGTCAGCATCTCAGCAAACACAGCTCCTGTTTGTGTCACCAGTATTTAGCACCCTCCTGGGAGCACGGTAGGTACTTGAAAGGAGTCTTTGAAAGACTCCTTTCAAGATCAATATCCAAAATGAACTTTATCTTTATAGGAACAAAGAGTGAAATACAGGAGTGGCCTGAAATTAAAGTAGAACACAGACAGGAGGGTGGAGAGGCCTTACAAATGCTTTACACATCATGAGGCTGCAGAGAGAACACCCACACACACAAGACCGGATCACGGCGATCTGACACACACACACACAACCCCCCCCCAACACCCAGATCACAGCGATCTGACATACACACATACACAACCCCCATCCCACACACACACCCAGATCACAGTGATCTGAACCCTGAGCTGCAAGACTGCTGATTCTACTCACCCAGGCACAGGAAGTGCCCCACCTGCAGCCTGTACCTCTGGGATGAGAAGCAGGTGAGCAGCAGGCAGAGCACGTGGAAGACAGCCAGCCCCATGAGCCAGGGCTCCGTCCAGTCCGTCTGCTGGAGGACACACAGCAGAAATTCGTCAGGGTCCACTCACACTGGGGCCAGGCTTCACACGCCGTCTTCTCTGAGCATGCCCAGAGCGCCCACCAGGCTTCACAGGACACGGGATCGGGAGGGGAAGGGAGGGGAAATGTGCACCCCCACCCAGGGACTGTCACTCATGTCCCTGGAGGGCCGTTACACAGCACTGAGGGCTTCACTGTTTGTCAAGCACAGCTTTAGGCTGGGGAACTGAAGGACCTTCCACTCTGGGAGGGAAGCCAGGAAAGCCTGGTTCTGGAATGCACCGGGTCCCCGCGGAGGTAAGGCTACAACTCCTATTTCCAGCTCCCTAAACCTAGAGAGCCTATTAAAAAGCAGAAACATTACTTTGCCAACAAAGGTCTGTCTAGTCAAGGCTATGGTCTTTCCAGTGGTCATGTATGGATGTGATAGTTGGACTGTGAAGAAAGCTGAGCGCCAAAGAATTGATGCTTTTGAACTGTGGTGTTGGAGAAGACTCTTGAGAGTCCCTTGGACTGCGAGGAGATCCAACCAGTCCATCCTAAGAGATCAGTCCTGGGTGTTCATTGGAAGGACTGACGCTGAAGCTGAAACTCCAGTACTTTGGCCACCTCATCGGAAGAGTTGATTCATTGGAAAAGACCCTGATGCTGGGAGGGATTGGGGGCAGGAAGAGAAGGGGACGACAAAGGATGAGATGGCTGGATGGCATCACTGACTCGATGGACATGAGTCTGAGTAAACTCCGGGAGTTGGTGATGGACAGGGAGGCCTGGCGTGCTGCGATTCATGGGGTCGCAAAGAGTCGGACACGACTGAGCGACTGAACTGAACTGAANAACTCCGGGAGTTGGTGATGGACAGGGAGGCCTGGCGTGCTGCGATTCATGGGGTCGCAAAGAGTCGGACACGACTGAGCGACTGAACTGAACTGAGACCAGTGATTAAAGCCTCAGAAAATCTGGGCTGCCCTCCAAACTGCGCTAGACTTCAGGTCTGCTAAACTCTAGGGGTGGCTGGTCCGCACCCCTAAACTAGGACCCCCCTCTCGGAGGCTCAGGTCCCCGGCGGGTAAGGGGCTGGAGGCGAGGCCCGCGCCTGCCACTAGCCCACTACGGGTGTTCGCATCCAAGCCCAGATCGGCCTCCATCCCGGCGCCCCGCAGTAACCCCGCCCACCGGGGGGGGGGGCTTCCTAGAACACCCCGCCCCTAACCCGGGCCCCGCGCACCTGAAATCACGCCCCTACCGGGCCCCCGCCCCACACCCGGGCCCCGCCCCCCAGGCCCCGCCCCGGAACGCCCCGTCAGGCGCCGCGGGCATCCTTGTTGGAAAATTCCGAGCCCCCTCTTAGCGCCAGCGGCCGAACTGGCGGACAAGGAGGGGGCGAGTTACCGTGATTACGGCGGGGATGCTGACGGGGAACCTGCTGACTGAGAATGCGGATGGCATCGCCCCCAGAAAGGCCCAGCCTCACCACCACCTTTTCGTCTTCCCGCCCCTCCTGGATAGGATAAGGAAGTCCTTTAACGTCCTCTCGCGAGATATCCCACTTGTCGCGAGGCCTACTGTGCCTGGAAGTGGGAGGGAGGCAGGCAGGCAGGCCCTCCATCTCGCGATATCTGTAATGCCATGTACTGGGTCCAAATCTCGCGGTATTCCGTGGCGTTGCAGTAATATGAGGTAGATAAACAGGCAGACGCCGGGGTTTTCTCCACAGCCGTTGGGTGCGGGCTCTGGTTCTGTGGCGTGTGAGCGCGCCAAGTCGCGTCAGTGCTCCGAGTCTGCCTCTGCGGACAGAACCCCTCTGTCCGAGGGTTCTCCAGGCAGGAACACTGGGGCGGTCGCCAGGCCCTCCTCCGTGGGGTTTTCCCTAGCCAGGGACGGAACCTGCGGCGCTCATACCTGACAGCGGGAAGGACTGGGGGCGTCCCGCCTTCTCCCTGCGCATCTCCGTGGGCTAGGCTTGGGGGTGGGCATCGCTCAGTAGTGGTCTGGCCTCTGGGAGACAGAGGAATGACCGGGACCCTCGAGGACACGGGCCAGTGATCCGAACCCCGGCACACAGAGGACAGTGACTTGGACCCTGGGGGACCAAGGGTAGGGGGACAGTGACCTGGAGTGACCTGCATAGTCTGAAAACGAGCTTCCTTCTGGGTCCTCTTAACTGGCTTCAGTCAAACTTCACAGAAGGAGGTCGACATGGTGAGGAGAAAGTGGCTCAGTAGTGTTTGACTCTGCCACCCCATTGACCAGCCCTCCAGGCTCCTCTGTCCATGGGTTCTCCGGGCGGGAACACTGGAGTGGGTTGCCATACCCTCCTCCAGGGGATCTTCCTGACCCAGGGATCGAACCTGGGTCTCCTGCACTGCAGGCCACAATCTGAGCCACTGGGGAAGCAAAGAATCCTGTGTTGACCGATTAAGTGCCCCTCAGCCACTCGGTGGGGTGGACGTTATGCACTCACTTTGCAGTGAGAAAACAGACCCAGAAAAGTAAATACCTGCCCGGCGAGGGAGTCGGGGCCTGGGTTAGACTTGGCTGGTTGCATGGCACAGACTCTGCCAGGTGCCTGCCCCACCAGCCTCCTCCTGGGCCCTGTCTAATGAGATGCATTTCTCTAGTTAGGGGACAGTTATTCCCCAGAGTGTACTGTGGATTCAATGCCTGATTCTCTTCCCAGATATAACATACTCCCTGAATTCATTTCTCCAACAACTCTGCAGGCCAGTGGTCTGACTTGAGATGACTGACGTTCGAGTCTGAGGGCAGATCTGGCTCTTCTCTCCAGGTGAAGCTGGTGCTGTGGGGTGAGGGCCAGCGAGGCTGTGACTGTCCAGCCTCACATGTGTCCATGTGAGGATTGTCAGGAGATGGGGCTGTTTGGGAATAAGAATCTGCTGTCGTGCAGTGACCACTCTTTTCTCTAATGCTGGACGTTTTATATTCAGTGTTTACTCCCCTGACCTGACAGGGAGATGGGTTGGAAAAATCAAAGACTTCAAAGGCAGATTTTCTCCTTCCTAATGATGGCTTCTTATGCTAGGGTATAAAGATCAGGCTCTAGCCTTCTTAGCAACACTGGCTTCAGCTGCGTCGCTCCAGAAAGGCCAAGGTAGGGTAACTGACAGTGTCTAAGGCGGGGCAGGTCTCATGCCTTTAGCAGGTGCTGTTCATTCCTCCGATTCCTATGACAGCCTGCCCCAGGAAGTGACTGGGTCAGCTCTCTGGTCTCCTGTCCCCTCAGGGCACTAGCTGCCTTCAGAGCAGCCATAGGTGAGTTTCTCTAGAGTCCAGAACCAGTGGAGAAGGCATGTGCATGTTGACTGAAAACTAATGCACAGCCTGAAAACTGAGAATGGTGTTTTTTTTGGCAGACAAAACTGAAGACTTAAGCACAGAATTCAGCCTCTCCGACAGCTCTGAGGGACTGCTCCCTGGAGGTGTGGGAGGAGCCAGGGTATAGAGGTGTTTTTTCACAAAGTCCAGGTAGTTAGAACATCAAAAGATTGCTATTAATTAAAGAAAACTAGACATCGCAGTTTAGTGAATTTAGCCCCTTTCTATGAATGGGAAAACAGAAGAATCGGCTCACTGGCGTCATTCCTTTGATGTGCACTTAAGCTTCCTGGGCCCAGTGTCCTGGGCTCTCACCCTGAGTCTGCCCGGGGCCCCTTCGGTTGTCCTGCATCACCCTTTCCTCCAGCTTCAGCTCATGCAAGGGAGGGGAGGGGAGGGTGGATGGCCAGTAGGGGTCAGGAGCCCGAGGCCCCACTCAGGGCGTCCTCCTCACACCCAGTTCCAGGGGGTGTTAGTGACTTGCAGGTTACCACATTCGTGCATGCTCAGTTTAACTTTTCTTCAGTTACTGCTTTAAGATCTTGTAATTGCAAGAAGCATGACGTTTTTGTTATCACAATGATTAGAGTTGCTAAATTTCAGTGAATTTTAAGGAATATCATAAGAATTTTCATAATGCATTATCTGATGTCACATGTCCTCTAACACTGGGGCTTCTCTGCAGAAGGGACCACCTGTCGTTTCCTGATTGACATGGATCTTCCTATAGCCTCATTTCACTGCATTTTATTCTCCAAACCTCTGTCCATCTGACCACATACGTGCTTGCACATCGGTGTCCATCTCTGTCTATCTCTTTGTCTCCCTCAAGTGCCCAGTTTAGGCAGAATCTCCTCCCTGTCCCCATGGGAAAAGCAATAGTAGAGTAGTGTATTTTCAACCCCACAGTTGTCAGGAGACAACTGTGTCAGCAAACAGAAGTTTGGAAATAAAGAATATGGATAAATTCATCGTGTGAGCTGAGACACTGACTTCCTTCCAGAGAAAATCTGCAGGTGGTGCTCAAAGATCTCTTCCTTCTCTTTAACTGTTATTGTGTGATACTTCCTCATCACAGGCCCACAGGTGAAGTCCTGTCCTTCAAAAGACACAGAGCTTGCTAATTTCTTGGTCTTTGAGTTAAACTTCCCCTTGGTCTTTGAATTAAACCAATTAATGATTCATTGGTAAAAAGAATTAAAATGGAAATACCAGGTTCCTTTGCTCGTGAAGATGCTGCTCCAAGTCTGCCCTGTTCTGAACTGTCAGATATGTTGTCCTCCCTGGAGACTACTAAAATGACAAATGTCAAAAAACAAACACAGCAAAACCCTTATATGAAATGTAACAGTCCATAAATATACTCCAAATTGTGTATGATAGTTTAAGCAGTGTTTTTGTTAAACAGTCTTTTGTTAATCATCTAATGTTTTCCAGTGGCTGATGTAGAGTATTTTTACTTTTTCATCATGTGATATTTTATTTACAAAACATTGAACATAAATGAGTGTTAATACTCACTTTTTCCAAGAGAGTCTGAAACTGAGCAGCTCAGACCTGAGAAGGTTAAGAATTTGTCTTTCTCTTGATTTTAAAATTACTCTGTCCCATATGACTTATGAGGACACATTTTTATTTTCTTTATCATCTATAACTTTACACTGGACTCAATCTCATCACTTTAAGAGTCCAGCCCATCCTGATACTATCTCCTGCACACAGCCACAGAGCGTGTTTATAAAAATGGATGCATTAAGCCATTTTGTGGAAGCTTTACCTGTAGCAATAACCTTAAATCACATCTTCCTTTCCTACCAGAGTGCAATGACTTTCTCCTTCTCTGACAGGAGCTGCATTCTCCACAACCTCTCTTTAAGGGAGGAACCAAGCTTCTTTTCCCTCTAGTCTGTTATATCTTAATTTGTAATGGAAATCAAATTATTTATGCAACAGTAATACTTATTTCATTGACATACTTGCTTTTCACTGAGCAGTATACGTGAACTGAGGTTTATGTATCTACATTCACTTAGGCATAAAAGGTTAATCTAGAATTTTGTCAGATCTTCCCTCTTGTCAGGTCCAGTCTTCTAATATAATTCCCGTTTTTCTCTTGGAAATCTGTCACAAAAATTTACCCATTTTTATAGATTCTCTCTCTTTGCATTTTCTAGCACCATCAGAGGGTGGAAAGGTAGACTGCAGGGGCTCTGGCGTCTGAATTGCTTAATACCATTAATCACCAGGGAAACGTAAATCAAAACCACAATGGGACGACACCACCTCATGCCTACTAGGATGGCTATTATCAAAAAAAAAGCCAAGTGTGAGCAAGAATGTGGGGAGTGTGCACTCAGTAGGGATATAAATGGTGCCGCCACTATGGAAAACAGTATGCAGGTTCTTCAAGAAACTAAAATACAGCTGCCATATGAGCCACAATCCCACGTGGGGACAGTTGTCAAAAAGAAATCAAGATCTTGAAGAGATACCTTAACGCCTGTGTTCATTGCAGCATTGTTCACAACAACTAAGATACAGCAATACCCTCAGTGTTCATCCATGGCTGAATGCGTCAGGAGCATGTAATGTGTACACACAGTGAAACATTACTCAGCCCTGAAGAAGGAGCTCCTGCTGCCTTGACAACGTGGAGGAACTGGAGACACTGTTAGGGGGATGAGCCATCCCAGCACAAGTCCACCTGTGTGAGGAGACACTTGGAGCCGTCAGAGGCAGAGAGCAGACGGTGCTGGTCTGGGACGAGGGGTGGAGGGCAGAGGGGAGGTCACAGGTTATATACCAGTTCTGCAGGTAAGTTGAGGAGACCCGATGTACAGCAGAAATCTGTACGGAGGGTAGATTTCATGCACCGCGGTCCTACCACAATTACATAACAGCATGAAGCACCACCGCCTTTGACCTAAAATGCTAATTTCAGTGTCACTGATTCCGTGACACTGGAATCAAGATTGCCGGGAGAAATATCAATAACCTCAGATATGCAGATGACACCATCCTTGTGGCAGAAAGGGAAGAAGAACTAAAGAGCCTTTTGATGAAAGAGTGAAAATTTTGGCTTAAAGCTCAACATTCAAAAAATTAAGATCATGGCATCCGGTCCCATCACTTCATAGCAAATAGATGGGGAAACAGTGGAAACCATGGCTGACTTTATATTTTGGGGGGCTCCAAAATCACTGCAGATGGTGATTGCAAGCATGAAATTAAAAGACACTCCTTGGAAGGAAAGTTATGACAAACCTTTAATGACCAACCTTTAATATGACAGCATATTAAAAAGC